CCGGGACAGGGACCGGGCTGCATGGTGGTGCCAGGGGGAGTGCTGGGCTCTGGTTCCCCTGCCCCTGGTGACTCCTGGTCAATCTGTTTCCCCTCCAGGACTCCGAGTGGGTGGTGGTGAAGGAGCCCATCATCAAACTGGCTGCCATAGACAACGGCTTGGCCTTCCCCCTGAAGCACCCCGACTCGTGGAGAGCATGTAGGTCCCTCTGCCGCGCTCCTGCTCACAAGGCTGGGGGCAGCCTGGTGCTTTGACAACTTGCCCTATGCTGGCTAGGCCTGCAGCCCTGCCGGGCGCCATGTGGCCTGGGCTTACGCTGCACTTGCTTCTGGGAGCACGGCCCTGAGGCCAGCAGCTGGGGTGGCCCCCGTCCCCCCGGGGGGATGGTTCGGGGGACGAGAGGGCTCACGCTAGCACCAGGCTGTGACCCCAGTGCCCGCGGGGCCAGGGCTGTGCACATGGCTCTGACCTCAGCTCCGGCTCTTTTCCCCCCAGACCCCTTCTACTGGGCATGGCTGCCCCAGGCCAAAGTCCCCTTCTCACAGGAGATCAAAGACCTGATCCTCCCAAAGGTTTCCGACCCCAACTTCGTCAAAGACCTGGAGGAGGATCTGTACGAACTCTTCAAGGTCAGGTGGGGGCTGGGGTGGGGGGTAGGTCTGTCACGTTGATGGGTGGGGCTGGCCTGGGTGGTGCAGTGAGACCCTTTCAGAGCCGGGGGTGGGGGGCTCAGCCTGCGTGGGGTGGGTTTTGCTGCATCCTGCTAGCACCTGCTTGGGGGTCGGGGGGGGAAGAGGCAGAAATCCCATGCAGCAGCTGCTGTCAGGGCAGGGGTCCCGGTGCCTGGGGGGGGTCTCGCAGCAGGGGTCTGGGTCCAGGGTCCCACTGCCTTGGGGGGGGGGGGGGGTCTCACTGCCAGGGCCTGGGGTCCCACTGCCTGGGTGTGGGAGAGGGGTGTCTCTCTGCCTGTCCCTCACTGCCATTTCTCTTGCAGAAGGACCCTGGCTTCGACCGGGGGCAGTTCCACAAGCAGATCGCTGTCCTGAGGGGCCAGGTATGCTGGGAAGGGCCCCTCTTGGTGGGGCAGGGGCACTGGCTCCCTCGCGCCCTGTGGGCAGTGCAACGTGGGACACAGTGGCCTAGGCAGCTCCCTGGGGCGGGGGTCCTGGACTCACATCCCTTCTGCTCTGTTGCCTAGATCCTGAACCTGACGCAGGCCCTGAAGGACGGGAAGAGCCCCCTGCACCTGGTGCAGATGCCGCCGGTGATCGTGGAGACAGCGCGCTCCCACCAGCGCAGCGCCAGCGAGTCCTACACACAGAGCTTCCAGAGCCGCAAGCCCTTCTTCTCCTGGTGGTAGCTGGGCGCTGGGCCGCCTGGGGCTGGGCTGGCCTGCTGCCGCAGCCCCCGTGGCCAGGACTCGACTCTCCGGGAGAGGGCGGGTGCGTCTGGGGGAACCTCCAGCTGAACTCTGCCCGGGCAGAGCCATGGATTCCCCTTGCTGCGGGGCTTGGACGCAGCCTGGCAGAACCAGCTCCAGCCACAAACTGCCCCACTCAATGCAGCCGCTGAGCGAGTGGAGCCGGGGCCTGCCTCCTGCGGGCGGTTCTGAGCCCGTTTGCTTCCTGCTGGGGCTGGGATCCGCCCGGCAGCCTCGCCTTGCCCACCCCTCAGGAACCCCGGCTGCTCGCTGGCTGCAGGGCTATAAAGGCAGTCAGTGTCAGCTCGACGTGGCCTTGCTGGGCTGCCCCTCCCCCCCCAGTGGCTACTTGGAGCTGGTGTCCCTGGAGAGGAGGCATGTGCATGAGTGAGGGGCTGGCACAGGAGGCCCAATGTATGCCCGGGCTGAGCTGGCAGAGGGCAGCAGGCCTGGGGTGCCCCAGACAGCTGCGCTATGGAGTGTTTGTAGCTGCCTTTCCTGCAGGGGGGAGAGCCGGGGAGGGAGCCTGCGGATGCCAGGGAGCTCTGGGCACCCTGGCACAGGAGTGATGCATGCTGGGACCTGGCCCCACTTCACAGGAAAGCTGAGGGCCCTGGTGTGGGAGCTGCTTGACCCCCTCCCTCACTGGGCACAGGGTGATCTGTCCTGGTTTAGCTGGCTTGTCCTTGTTCCACCCTCTCCCCTGTAGGAGGGGCCCATGTTCCCCTCTGCTCCTGCCCTCGCTGCTGGGCAGGCCCCCCTCCAGGGGCACTCACCTGCTCTGCTCCACAGGCCCTGGGTGCACGTGTGGGCAGCCTGGTTTCACTTCTCAAGGGAGCCCAGCCTGTCAGGGGGGCTGGTGCCTGCTGGGTGAGCTATGGCTGATGGGAAGGGGTCCGGCTTCCCGCATCTGTGCGGCTCCCCCTTCCCCACCCTGCTGCGGCTCCTGCGGCCGGGGCGGCTTGCCTCATGGTCACTGCCCGGGGCAGTTCTGGGCATCATACAGCTAGTCCCAGGCTGGGGGCTGGGCCAAGCTCCTTAGAGGCTCCATGGGGCTTGCCCCAAGCCCCCTTGGGTGGCCTAGCACAGGGGCTTAGGCTGCGCTGTCCCCCTTGGGGCAGGGGGGTTGTGCATGTTCCCCTCCATGAACAGAAGTGGGCAGGGCTGGGCTAGAGGACTTGGGCCCGTGCCCTGGAGCTGGCCAGGGGCTTCATGGGCTGTGGGTGCTGCTAGCGCACCGGAGGCCGGATTCCATCTTTCTGGCTGCTGCAACCTGACCCGAAATGTATCGTTCTCATGCACTGTAGAAATGTATGTAATGTATTTAAACCCATGCACTAGCTGAGTCAGACCTGCCATTCTGCACGGGGCTCTGGGGAGGTGACACCTGCTGGGGTGGGAGAGCCCCTCTGCCTATGGGCCCCACTTGCTCCTGTCTGCCCCCGGGGGCAGTGATGTAGCACTTGTCAGGCAGGGCCTGTGGCCTAGCACTACCCTTTCACTGAGAGCCTGGACTGGGGGTGCTGTCCTTGCTCTAATGCCCCGTGGAGCTAGTCTCCTGGGCCCGAGCCCAGCTGCAGGACTGCGGGGAGCGGCTGCGGGCGGGCGCCAGGGGGCTGTGCCCAGCAGTGCTCCCCGGCAGCGCTGGCTGCGGTCAGTAAAACAGGCCCGTCTCACTGAGGCCTCAACGCTGCAGGTACCTGCGCTGGTGTAGCCGAGCTGCTTGCATTGGGCAAAGCTGCCCCAGCTGTGAGGAATGCCCTGCAGAGATGGGCAGCCAGGGGTGCCCATTTGGGGCTGGCAGCTGTGGGCATGCTGCTTTCTGGCTGAGGCTAGAGCACCAGCGGTCAGGGCCTGTGTCAAGTGACCCCCCCGCCCATTAGGGGGGTGGGATCTGGTGGGAAGGGCCAGAGCAGTGTCTTCTACTGCCCATGCTCCCTCCTCACAAGGGGGAGGGGGGGCGTGAGCTCCCAGGGAGAAAAGGACCCCCCCACACACCCTGCTGTACTTCCAGTATCGCCCACCTCACTCTCGCCTCCAGCCGGGTGCGTCCTAACTGGGGCTTTCCCCAGCCCCCGTCCTGCAGGAGCACAGCCAGGCCCAGGGACTTCACACAGTGCAAGGGGCTGCATGGATACTGCTGCCCCCCTGCTGGGACGGTGCCCAGGGACCTGAACAGACAGAACAACACTCGCATGTCCACCCCCCTGCTGGGCTGAGCCCCCTGCTGGGCTGAAGGCCAGAGAGAGCTGTGCCCCCCCCACCCCCAGCTCCGTGGGCCTCCCTGCTCAGACCGGGCCAGGCCTGCAGTAACTCCTGGCAGCACAGACAGGTCTCACAGCCAGGTCACTGCACAGGCTTTTATTACACATTATGTCCAGCTGTATGCAACAAGCCTCAAGGGTTTTCCTTGGGCTGAGGGGCGGGGCTGCCCCTAGTAGGATGGGGCTCATCCATGGGACTTGGACCCCAGGCTGATGGGCACCCTAGACAGCCAGCTCTGGTGCTGAGTGACTGCATGTGCCCCACACGTACCCCCCGGTCAGGCCTGGGGGTGGGGGAAGGGCAGCCTGCTTGTGGGTCACTCCTCGCTCCAGTTAGGTCCCAGAGGCTCTGGCCCCTTAGCAAAGGGCTTTCAGGGCGGTTAGTGTTGGATGGGGGCGGGGGGGGGGTTGCAAAGGCCCACTCGCAGCCTGGGCTACAGCTGTCCTCTGCTGGCTGGTCCCCCCCCCCCGGGCCCCCCCCTCCCCCCCCCCCCCCCTTCCTCGGAGGGGGGGGGGAGAATCGGCAGCTGCTTGGCCCAGCTCTAGCCAGTGAGGACAGAATCTCCCCCCCCCCCCCAGCGTGTCTGCCAGTTTGTGGGGCTGAGCCTGGCCAGGCAGCCGGGAGCTCCCAGCGCCAGCTGCCCCCCTCACTGCTGGAGCTGGTGCAGGTACCCTGTGGGTCCAGGCCCCCTCTTCCTCCGCCTGGTCCTTGGACCTTTCCTCCTGGGGCCAGGGCGCTGCCTGTCCCTGCTGGGCCCCTCCAGCCTCGTGCTGCTGTCAGGGTCTGCGCTGGGGGAGCTGCAGTCCTCTAGCCTGTAGGGGAACAAACAAAGCCAGGGTGAGGGGCAGTGGATGCCTGGCTAGGAACATCCCTGCCCCAGGGGCTACGCAGATTGTTTGGGCCCCAGGTGAGAGGCAGCCAGCCCAGCCTGCCTGGGGGCAAAGGAGATCCCTAGCCTAGGCTGCCCCTCCCCATGGCCCCGCTGCGTGGGGCTCCCCACGGCCCCGCTGCGTGGGGGCTCCCCTCCTGGGCCAGGGCAGACGTGAGCCAGGGACGGGTTTCGAGTCTCTTACACGCTCACCCCCGGTGCTGTGGGGGGGGGGGGAGGCGGCAGGTCCAAGGAAGGGCCCTGCCACTGGGATGGTCTTTAGGGTCTGGGGGTAGCTCATTCAGTCTACCCTGTGCCAGCCCCTGACTATCACAGGCCAGGCACACCCCCCCCAGGGCCTGTGGGGTGACCTCCCATTGCACCCCCACCCCACGGTGCAGAGTCTCCCCACAGGAGGCTGTGCCCAGGGCCCTCAGCCCAGGTTCAGCTCCATGGGGGTGCTGTTCCCCATGCCTGGCCCAGTGCCCAGCCTGTACCTTGGGTCGCTGCTGTCCTGAGCTGCGCACCGCCTCCTCTGCCTGCTCCTGAGCTGGCGCAGGGCTTGGGCCGTGCGCCGGTCGCCTGCGTACTCCCAGACCAGCTGGGCACGCTCCTCGGCCCGCTCGTCCCCGCTGCTCCGGAACAGGCGCCGCAGCTGCAGCAGCCCCACATCCTGGAAGATGTTGGCAGAAGCTCTTTTCCGGGCAGGGGCCTCAGGCACCGGGCACTGCAGGGGGTCGCATGCCACAGAGGCTGGGGTGCCCATGGGCCTGCCCCTGTGGGGCCAGAGGAGAAGCTGTGGGAAGGAAGGGAAGAGGCTGAGGCTGCAAGAAGGGATGGGGCTCCCCACCCCCCGGCTGACTCTGCCTCCACGGGACGGGAGGGGGCTGCAGCCGATGGGATTTTGCAACCTGCACCTATGACATCTGCGCAGTGTCGCTGGCCAGGAGCCAAGGCCAGCTGGGCAGAGAAGCGCGAGCTAGTCCCCTGCCTGGCTGTGCTGCCTGTCCAGGGCCCGGGGGGGTCCCTGCTTATCTGCCCCATTGCCCGAGCCGGGCTGGACCGGAGCCCCGCAGCCCCGCCAGCCCCGGGAAAGGTGCGGGGCCGCTGCGTCCCCGGGCCGCGAGCAGTGGGGGTCCGGTGGGCCTGGGCTCTCGGTGCGTCTACACGGCAGTGACGGGCCGGGGCTGGCCCGTGTCCCCTGGCCCCGGGGAGGATCCGAGCCCCGGCACAGGCAGCGGCGGGTGTCCCCGGCTCGGGGGGAACCCGGCCCCGGAGCGCCCCGCCGGGCTGGACAGAACCAGCTGCCCCCGCCCCGAGCGGCCCCGGCCCGGCTACCTGCGCACGCGAGTCGCGGCGGCTCCGCGGCCGGCCCGGGGCTCTGGGGTCCGGCCCGACCCCGAGCAAGGACAGCAGCCCCGCCCCCAGCCCGCCAGCCAATCAGCGGCCGCTGCCATCCGCGTCCCGCCTGCCCGAGCCGAACGCGGAGACACCGGCTGCCCAATCAGGCCCCGCAGAGGGGGAAGGGGCGGGGCCTGGCGCCTCGGGGAAACACGTGGCACCCAATGACGTCAATGGGCAAGCGGTGACCAGCTGCTGGCGGGGGTCCAGCGCTCGGGGGGGAGCGGGGAAAGCGCCCCCAGCCCCGGGAGCTGCAGCCGCCCCCGCCCCCCCCCCCAGGAGCCCACTCGCCCCCCAGCCCCGGGAGCTGCAGCCGGGTGCACAACCCAGGCTGTGAAATGCTTTGCAGGGGGAAGCTCTGTTACCTGCACACAGGGCCCCCACTTTTCCCCAGTCTGGGGGGCTCCAGGTGTAACTAACCTGGTCAGTGTAAGTCCCCACACCCTTTCCCAGTGCATATGGCTCCGGGTGGGTACGACTTCTGCAGCGGGGCAGGACCTTCTCCCAGGGAAAGAGCCTCACACAGTAATATCCTACATCACCTCTCTTCATTAACAATCACCCAAACCAGACTGCACCGCTACACACACAATGCTCACCACTCCCAATACCGCAGATGAACTTTTCTTGCTGGCCAGTCAGGATCAGGTCGTCTGGGGAACTCCAGTTTCTGCCCAGTGTCACTGGCTGAGTGTTGGGGTCTCGCAGCTCTGATCTTGGGGCTGTGTCCTGGAGTTGGTTCCCAAAGAACTTCTTTTTGGACCCCAGTTTATATAGTAAAAAGAACAGGAGTACTTGTGGCACCTTAGAGACTAACAAATTTATTAGAGCATAAGCTTTCGTGGGCTATGCATCCGAAGAAGTGGGTTGTAGCCCACGAAAGCTTATGCTCTAATAAATGTGTTAGTCTCTAAGGTACCACAAGTACTCCTGTTCTTTTTGCTTATACAGACTAACACGGCTGCTACTCTGAAACCTGTTTATATAGTGACATTTGAGTTCTTTTAGCTGTACCTTAACCAATCATTATACTAAAATTTTACTAACCAATCCTAACATAGTGTAACAAAATTCTCCAACCAATCCTACCCCACCACCCTAATTTACACCTAGCAAAATTAATCAGAACAATCAGACAGAAACAATCAAAGAACCAGACAGAGACCTGACAGATAAACAATAGGGAAGTATCAGGGGGTAGCCGTGTTAGTCTGTATCTACAAAAACAACAAGGAGTCTGGTGGCACCTTAAAGACTAACAGATTTATTTGGGCATAAGCTTTCGTGGGTAAAAACCTCACTTCTTCGGATGCAAGGAAGTAGGGACCATAATGACAAACCAATACAGAAATGAGGGTTTCACAACCACAACTCTTGAGAAGTGATTTCTCGCCAGATAGATGCTGTCAAGCTCAGTTTTCTTTAACCATCTCAAGCTCTGTTGCTGTATCTGGTGATGGTGGGGCCATTCGGACGGGGTCTCCTTACCAGCCTAGGACATCGTTTTAATGTCATGTCGATGGAATATGGGGATGTAACTTCCTGCTTCTCAGCTAATGGCTGCTGCTCGGCTGCTGTTTTAATCTGGCTGCAGACGAAGGCCTGATCCTTACAGTGAGGCTCAGCTGCTGCCGTCTGTGGGTCCATGTGCTCCTGGGGACTTTGAAGGCTTCCTGCACCTGCAGCTCAGGGTATCCCAGGTCCTCCACAGGGGTCACACTGCCCCTCACCTGGGCAACTGAGCAGCCACCGGTGCACTCCAGGCTGCACAGACAGAAAGGCCCCCACCCTGACGTGCCCCTGCCCCTGTGCAGACTAGTTCAGACACGCCCCACAGGTGACGGCATGCGCAGGAGCTGCCGGAGCCCTGCACTGGGAGATCCTCCCTACAGACCTGGCAGAAGGACGAAGGTGATTCTAACAATAACCTGCAGCTTTTGAACCTGGGACCTTCAGATCTGTAGCACAACCCCTGCTATTTGAACTAAAGGAGTAACCTCATTTCCTGCCACCAGTAGTAGGCTGCTCTCCACCAGTGGCCCAGCCACTAGCGGGGAAGGTGACATTTTGCCAGCATCACCCGAGGCTGTCTGGAGCCTGGGGAGAGGTCCTGAGCCGGGGCAGGACACAGAGGGGCTGGCTCGTTTGCAATATGAAAACCAAGCCGTGTTGTTCAAGTGTCGCAGAGGAACGCAGCACAGGAGGAAATGGGTTTCTCGGCCTCCCGGAGTAACACAAGAAATGCTTCGATGAAGGGCCAGGCGGCGCAGTGTTTCTGTCACAAATGAGTGATCCAGAAGAAAGCAGGGTGCGCCCGCCGGGACACGTGCTGGGAGGATGCTCAGGAAGGACAGGGATCCAACCAGCAGCAAGGATCCTGCAATGCAGGGGATTTCCTCAGCGCTGGCCAGTTGGGGTGGGTGAGGTGTAGATGGCTCATGTTCCACCCAGATGTTGTGGGTCTGGGAGAGGGGCGCTCACTGACCTGTCAATGACCATATGCCTGGAGGATGGGGAAGGGCTGGTTCTGACATCCCATCCTCTCCAGCTCAGCACTGCCTGTCACAGACCAGACGAATCCTGTTAAGGCCTAGACCTGCCCCTCAGGCTCTGTCTGCAGATCGAAGGAGCCTCCCAGCCCAGGAGCTAGCAGGGCTGGTGCAGGGAGTCTTGGAGGCCATGGGCCTGCCCCTGTGGGCCTGTGTGAACCCTTGGGGTTCGGCCCACCAAGGGACTGGTTACAGGCTGGAGCATAGACCCAGCCCTGTGGATCCCTGGCAGTGCCCACCAGGGGAAACTCTGCCGCCGCTACCAGCTGCAGGCAACACCAGTGCTCCCCACCGGGCTCCTTCCCTCTGCAGGCCAGCAGTTCACGTGCCCCATCTTGTTACACTGGAGCACCCATCCACTGGCTTCTCCTCAGTCCCACCCTCTCCGCAGCACACTCATGGGTCTATCGTAAAACCAAATGGGAGTGTATTTAGGAGAGCTCGAGTTAAGGATTCAGACAAAGGCCAGTCAAAGGATTTAGAGACAGCTTGCAGGTAAAAGACAAACATATCAGGCAGTCTAGAGCCTGCGCTCATTAACAAGTCCTCTCAGGCACTGGCAAAAAGCGCTAACCAAACTGTGGTGGGCTGGATTTTACTTACCATCACCGTGAGGCTTGTGGCTGGGTGTAGGGCTGGACTTGCTGCTGCAGGCTGCAGCAAAGGGGTGAGATATTTTTGAGTACATGGGAGTGATGGGTGAGTTCAACATCCTCATGCTTCAGGACAAAGGAAATCAGCAGCTGGGGTCAGGAAGGCCTGTCCTTGCCTCACACCTCTCCTGTAAGGTAGCTGGACAGTGAGGTACAGTAGAGAGACAAGGGGGGAGGGAATATCTTTTACTGGACCAACTTCTGCTTGGAGAAACACGCGCGCGCTTCCCGAGGAAGAGTCCCGTGTTGCTGGAAAGCCCGTCTCTCACCCACAGAAATCGGTGCAATAAAAGATATGATGTCACTGTGACGAAGTGGGACTGTTCTTAATGTTTCCTCTGAATACTGTGTGGGTGCCTCAGTTTCTGACGGACCCTCTGTCGCCTAGCAACTAATGGCCAGGCCCTTCCCCCCTGCAAGGGGATGCTAAAGGTGTGGGAGAACAAAGAGATCAGGTGACCTCCTGGCCCGGGGAAAGAGACAAAGGCCAGAAAGGAGGGGCTGGAGGGGGTTTCAGTTTGGAGCTGGCTGGGGACTAGGAGGGAGGGCAGAAGACAGGGGTGTCTGGCTCGCTGGGCCCCAGAATGGGCCCGGATGAGGGGTCCCGTTCTTTGTACCTACAAGCTCTGTTTTAGACCGTGTTCCTGTCATCTAATAAACCTCTGTTTTACTGGCTGGCTAAGAGTCACCTTTGACTGTGAAGTGGGGGTGCAGGACCCTCTGACTTCCCCAGGACCCCGCCTGGCCGGACTCGCTGTGGGAAGCGCACGGAGGGGCATATGCTGAATGCTCCCAGGAGAGACCCAGGAGGTGAAGATGTGTGAGCTTCTTGCCCTGGAGACGGTCTGCTCCGAGGGAGAGGAGGCTCCCCAGAGTCCTGCCTGGCTTTGTGGGGAGCAGTTCCAGCGCATCGCCCGGGGACTCCGTGACAGTCCCCCACCCTGTCTCTCCTATGTCCCGAGACCCACGGGGCCACACCACCGCTGGACACAGCCGGGCACGGGTCGGGGTGGGGGGGATTTATGCCTTTCTCTGAAGAATCCGGCTTTGGCCACTCAGGCGCAGGGGTGGGGCGAGGGACACGAGGCGCAGGGGTGGGGCTGGGGCTGCCCGGCCTGGTGGTGGGGCTGGAGATGCCCGGTGGGGCTGGGGACGACACGGAGATGCGCTCGGGGCTCTAACTGGAAGCGGCAGCCCCCAGGGCTGTGTCCGCACCCAGCAGCAGGAGGGGGACGTGCGCCCCGGGCCCCCAGGCAGCGAGAGGCCAGGCCGGGGGACACGCTGGGCGGGCTGGGGGCCGGGCCTGCTCCGCGGCGGAGCCAGCCCCTTGCAGGGAGCGGGGCGGGGCCGGGGCCGGGGCCGGGCGGGCGGCCGGCGCAGGAAGGACCGTTAGGCGCCAGATGTTTGGCAGCCCAGCGCAGAGGAAGTGGCTGCCGGAGCGCAGGGACGGGGAGCGGCCCGAGGCCCCAGCGCTGCCGCCATGCCCCCGCCCGCGCCCCCCACCGCGCCGCCGCCCGGGCCGCCCGCCCGCGGGCCGCTGAGCCTGCACCGGCCCTTCCTGCGCAGCCCGCTGGCCCCGCTGCGCCTGGGGCAGCTGCTCCTGGGCGCCGCCTGCTGGGGAACGGTGGCGGCCCACAAGTACGAGGGGGCGGCGCACTTCGCGCTCTTCGCCGCCGTGCTGGCCTGGCTGCTGGCGCTGGCGCTCGCCGGCCTCAGCCTGCTGGGGCGCTGGGCGCTGGTGCCGCTGCTGGGCGCCCGCTGGCTGCTCGCCAACGCGGCGCACGACCTGCTGCTGGGCGCCGGGCTCTACGCGGCGGCCGCGGGCGTCATGGGCCACAAGGCGGAGCGCAACAGCTACTGCAACCTGCGCGGCTACAGCCAGCCCTGCCTCTACCGCGCCTACCTGGCCGCCGCCGTCTGCGCCG